GGGAGAGGGGGAGGCTAAGGGGGAGGAGGACAACAACAAACAACAGCAGCAAGAGGAGGAGGAGGAAGAGGCCTGAGGTTGCCAATAGGTAACTCTGTCCACAAGAATAAATAAGTACTTCAACTTTTTTAGCAACTGATGATGTTCCAACAAAGCTCTGTCTGCTGAATTTAACAATTACTTTAAAATTGGCATAGTCATGAAACAAAATAAGATGAATGGAATGGGTTGAAGATGTAACTAATGATGCATATTAGTTTTCTCAAGCAAGAATTGAATTTAATTGTTTTTAACTCCTTTGAGAAATCATGATAGAAATTTTATATTTTGGGGATGCCTGGGTGAGTCAGTCAGTTAAGTGGCTGCCTTCAGCTCAAGTCATGACCCCAGGGTCCTGGGATCGAGTCCTGCATCAGACTCCTTGCTCAGTGGGGAGCCTGCTTCTCCCTCTGCCTGTTTCTGCCCGCTGCTCCCCCTGCTTGTGCTCTCTCTCTCTCTCTGACAAATAAATAAAATCTTTTCTAAAAAAAGAAATTTTATATTTTGCTTAAAATGTTTAACACCCCCAGAATTCAAGTTTTTTGAAACAAGATGCAAAGTATAAAAATACTTTTGTGCCTATTATAATTTTATGAAATATTAGACAAAATAAGCACAGGAAAAAAAAAAGACAAAGTGTATGCTTTAAATTGAGAATAATAAAATAAGGATATTTTAAAACAAAGACCATTTAAGTGCTGAAAATCTGTAAGACTTTCAGTAAGTAATGCTGAGAATTACTATGTTTTTGGGCAAATTTTCTGTAACTGAACTTGCTTAATACAGTGCTAGTATATTTTATCACCTTAGAACATTTGGTTATACAGAAATTACATATAGAATTTAGATAACTGTAATTCTTTAGTAGTTCATTATAAGCTATTATCGGGATTCTGAATTTTTCTGGAACATTCATAGTTTCAAATATTCTTCCAAACTATTATTTATGTTTAGCAAGCAAGGTCACTACGACAAAATAATATAAGGAAATCGGTAAGTAATAAAATCTATTGGGATGAAAATTTTAAAAAACCTAATTTGTCTGGAGAACTAATTTAGAATACTACATTTTTTATTTTAGATGACTACACTTTATATTGAAAACTATTCAGTCCTCAAAAGGAGTAAGTATATATTTTAAGAGATATTAAAATTCATGACCCTTCTCTCTACGCTTTTGAGATTGAACAAAGAAAATAGTCAAAGTCAAGAAATGAAGATGTCAGTATAGAAATACAAAGAGAAAAAGGAACAGAGAAGAAAAAGTCAAAGAAAAATTATAAGAAGGGGTATCCAGACTATTATAATTTAGATCAGTTTGAGTCAACATACACTTACAAGCATATATACTATGTTAGAATCCAGGGTTCGATAATGGAGAAGTCTTCATTTTTACCCTGTGACCTGCCAATATGAAATATAATGTATCATATTAGTTATTGAAATATTTTACATTAAAGTGTTTTAAGATTTGGTGTCTTTTTGCATGTCCTAATCCTATTTCATTCAGCATCCTGATCTTATTTTTTATTTTTTTAGTGATTTTTTTGTATCCTATCCTTTATTTTATTTTTTTAAATTTTATTATGTTACGTTAATCACCATGCATTACATCATTAGTTTTTGATGTAGTTTATCCTATCCTTTAAAACAAACATTTTGCTTAGGGTGGCTTAGTGGGGAGGGGAAAGGGGGGGGAGGGAGTTCTGCATAGAATGAATTATTTGTTTTAACTGGCCCCTTTAGACAGTTATTCCCATAAAAACATTCACTTGATTCCCTATTTTGTTTTATTAGTGCACACAAATAAACATCCTGTTAGAAAATAGATATCAAAGGAATTATTTTCCCCTTGTTTAATAGAAATAAACAGATAAAGAAAATAGGCTATGGTTATTTTACTCTTCAGACAAATCATCCTACAAACTTGCTTTAGCCAAGTTGCATATCACAGCCAACTTTAGTAATGAGTAGACATCTGTTGAAATTTATTATTTGGTTCTGAGATTTTTTAGCTATGAATCTGTATATACAAATGTATATCTAGGCACATAAAAGAAACATTCTTAATGAATTGCCTTTTTTAACCAATGAATGCATTGTTACAATAAACATAAATTGATCCTAGATCAATATCCAATCAACAACACTTCCTTTAAACATTTCACTATTGGACTGATTCACACTGTAGTACTCCATCTTGAGAAATATGTTTATTGGAAGAGAAAATTCAAAATTTCTGGTCAACTGAAAACATATCTTGGGAAAGGAAGAGAAGAACAGTCTGTTCTAATACAAGAAAATCTGTGGTGAAAATATTACCAAAAATGGATACATCTGACAACAAAACAAGTTAAAACAGTAATTGATAGGTTTTAAAGAAGAAGAAAAAAAAAAACTAGTTGCAAAATGACACTTTGAGAACATAAATCCAATTTTCTAAGAAAGAAATGTTGCAATCTAGTTTAATATCACTCTTCAAAAAACAAAGATTGAAAATTTTCTTTTGGAACTATTTAACTGATTAAAATTAAAAAAAAAAGTTTATTTAATAGGCCAGATTTCAGTTGTAATACTGTTTTAGGCCAGAGAATAAATTAAATGTGTGATTATACTTTCCATGTTTTAAAGTGTGATTTTTAAAAATATTTTGCTACTTTCATATCATTGCTCTTAAATGACTTACCAGTTTTCATTAATATATCTCCAAATTGTGTACACCTATTTGTTTCTTTAACTTAACACTTTTTGATGATTTTACCTTAGCAAGACGTGATTCCAGCTGCTCAGCTAAAAGCAAGATTTTCTTTTTTTTCTTTTTTTTTTTTTAAAGAAGTTTTTTGTTTTTTTTTTTTAAAGATTTTATTTATTTATTTGAGAGAGAATGAGAGAGAGCACATGAGAGGGGGGAGGGTCGGGAGGGTCAGAGGGAGAAGCAGACTCCCTGCCGAGCAGGGAGCCCGATGCGGGATGCGGGACTCGATCCAGGGACTCCAGGATCATGACCTGAGCCGAAGGCAGTTGCTTAACCAACTGAGCCACCCAGGCGCCCCTCTAATTAGAGTTTTTCATTGATATCCTCTCTCACTCCATTTTCCCTGTTCTGGAGCTCCTATTATTCAGATATCAGTCTGCATTGTTTTTCCTTTCAATTTTATTGTGACTCAGCTCTGATTTTCCAACTTGAGGTCTTGTTGCTTTACTTTCTAGGTTATGTTCCTAATATTTTTCTCCATGCCCTCTCGAGATTTTGTAGTTGATATGATACCTTTATATTCCAAGGACAACTTTTTTCTATGTGCATTCACTTTTAAAAATTATATACATGTAGCACATAACATTTTCCACTGGTGGTTGCAACAATATTTCTAGCCTATATCCCTTTCTGATAACTTGCCACTGCCTAATCAAGAAAAATAGCTCCACACTCCACTTTGGAATCCCCATCAAGTGGCAGAGTCTAAATCCTTTCCCCTTGAATCTCTTGTAATGAACAGAATGTAGCTGAGGTAATGCTGCATAATTTTCTAGGCTGTGTCAGAAAAGGTGGGGAAGAAGAAGTGAAAAAGTTACTGCCTTCTGAAATGTAACACTTGGACTATGGCCCTGAGCCACTGCGTAAACAATCCAGTTGTGAAGCTATCAGGTGCTACGGAATCCCAGCTACACATGGAGAAACCACAGGGAGAAGCACAGAGACAGAGACAGACAAAGAGACAAACAGACCTACAGAGGAGGAACCACGGCAAATAATAAGATTATTGTTGTGACAAGTCATTACATTTTGTGGTGCTAGGCAGCAATGGCTAACCTTAATCTTTTATTTTTTGAGTGTAACATATATGCACTTATATGCATTAACATTGTATTATATATACATTATATATGAATATATATAATTATGTTAATCTTATATACACGTAAAAGTCGTTTTTATGAGTTTTTCTGTACATATTCTCTAATTCCTTCAAATTGCTTTGTATTTTTTCAGTATGATTTATAATAACAGCTTTCTTCAAATGTCTTGATTGATAGTTTAACTAGATATATAATGTTATGTCCCAAATAATTTTTCCTCAGAAAATTTTAGAAATGTGCCATTTTAATCTAACACCCATTTTTGCTGTTGAAAAGTCTAGTCAGAATCTGATTTTTATTTGATTATAGTAAAAAAAAGATATTCTGGGTATATTTAATCCAAAGTTCTTGTCCTCATAGTTTTAAAATCTCATAACAATAGTTCTAGAAATTAAGTGCCTTCATTTTAATCATTTATGTGGTCTTTTCAGTTTAATCACTGATGTTGGACCTCAGCTTTGGGGAAAAACATGCTGTTTAATATTTGTATATCTCTGCATTTTCTGATCTTTATTCTCGTTCTCTCTCTCTGTTCTTTCTCTCTCTATTGACTTTACCTCTTCCTCTTTTTCTGGGTTTGTAGTAGCTTATTAGATCTTCTGGATGTATCTTTCCCTGTTTTATCCATTTCACCCCCTTTTAAAATTTGCTTTATTATTTGAAATAAAATTTGTTTCAAATGATTCCTTTATAAAAATGTCCTACATTTTTTCCATTCTCTTAGAAGATACAATTTAATTATTCTAAAGTTATTTTTAATTTAATTTTATTATGTAATTATTCTAAAGTTCTTAACTATTCTCCAACTTACTTCTGTTCCCTCAGAGAGTGATGCTCTATTTATTAAATAAGGTACTTCTTTTTTTGTGCTACAGGATTACCTAAACTGTTAGTGACATTTTGTTATTCTACATTTGTGTAAAAGGTTCATTAGAGGCTTAAATGAGTTTTCTCCTTCATTAAAAGCCTGACCATTAAATGAGCATGCGGACAACATGCTGTCCAAATAAGATCATCAAGCAGCCAAGCAGTTCCTAAGCAATGCTTGGTAGCAGCTGCTAGGTTAGCTTGACCTGCTTCCATAGATTTGGCCACTAATGACAAACTGAGCCCAACAGATTTAGACAGTTTATTACTCTAAGCAGAGCAGGCTGCCTATACTTGATGTTCGTACTGGTTTCCCTTGCTCCCCAACTCCTAAGGGGGTGATGCAGAATCACACAGTGGGTCTGTCTCACAGCTAAAAGACACTGAGCCCAGAAAATCCCCACGAGAATTTCTAGCATTACCTTTATTGCCCTGGAATAAGCAAATCTTTACCAGGAAGAGAGACACGGAGTTTTTTACCTACTACTCTGAAATACCACTGGGGAGTGAGTTATTTTCTACTTGTACTATTCTGTAATGAAAATTAATTTAAGCAAATTGGCTGTTAATACCTAGAAGTAAAGAAATGTAAGAGATTTACGAAAAATTGTCTTCCAAGGATAGAATATGTCTATCGAGAACTTCAAAATAAACTGTGTGAATGGGAAACATGAAGTGAAGCTCCACTGCCACGACCATGCACAACTATCGGGTCTTAGTAATACCCACTTGAGAGCGATAATCACTTCTAGGAAGATATCTGATTGATGTTTTGCTTACGTTGTTAGTAGAGGTAGGAGGAGGGGCAGTCAGAAGGAAAAACCAATTAATACAGCTGACTGTTGAGGAGGAATTAAACTAAATAACTGATGAGTCCAAATTAAAGTTGAAAAGAATACTTCCATCTCAGTTTTCTTTCCTACCACTCTCATTACATGTTTACTTCTGTTCTGGCGATTGGTGTAGCTATCCCTGTGACTCACTCCACTTTTAGTTGCCTATAAAGTCTTCATAATCTTTGTTCAGCTGAAGTCTCATCATTCTCTCTGTTTCTAATCTGTACACGTCTTTTTATTTTCTTCTTTTTTTAGGTCGGAAAGGAAATAACCAAGACTGACTAGGTTGCCATGGTGAACAAAACCTACCTTCAAAAAAAAAAAAATAGTGCAATTGTATTGCATCAGATTGAAAGTGTAGGCTCCCAATGCTCTATAAATAAGTGTGGTTTGAATTACATTATTAAATAAAAGATAATATATTCATGAAAATAATAATTAATATACTATATAATAAAATATAACAGGTTGTGAAGGTTGTGTTAATTTTAATTTTTTTGCTGTAGAATAGCCAGATTTCTAGCATATTTAAAATCTATAAAAAGTTTCCCTTTGCTCATTTGTTTTGTTTCTTAAATTCCACATATGAATGAAATCATATGGTATTTGTCTTTCTCTGACTTATTTCACTTAGCATAATACTCTCTAGTTCCATTCATGTTGTTGCAAATGGCAAGATTTCATTCCTTTTTATGGCTGAGTAATATTCCATTGTATATATACCACTTCTTTTTCTATTCATCAGTCGATGGGCAGTTGGGCTTTTTCTATAGTTTGGCTATTGTAGATAGTGCTGCT